AATGCTGTTATTACCAGCTCCTGAGTCTACATTTGATAGGAAATTGAGTTTATAATAATCGTAGAAAACTTGAGCTAAGTTGTTAAGTTTTAAATTTAAACTCCGATTTTTAAACACTAGTGTGAATAATTGTGTCTAAGTTATGGAAATTAATTTTGTTAACATTTTACATCTTTAACTTCAAGAGAACGTTCAGATAAATTCTTAAGTTATTTTTAAACTGCACTTTTTACATTTCTACTATAAAAAAGTTAAGGATTGAAATAAACTAATGTTTAAGTAGAGATAAACTTAGTTTATTTTTATACACACTTATAAAACAATCATCTACTTTTCTATAATGATAACAAAAATCTAATAATTTTATCTTATTTAAAACATGATAATTAAATTTGGAAATTAAATGATAATTGAAAATGGTATCTAAAGAAAAATCATTTATTTTGTAATAGAATTAAATAAATCCTGGGAATACCTCTATCTATAATCTCAATTTTAAAGAATTAGTTACGTTTTCTTTAAAGCATATTGATGCCAAAAGGAGGAAATACGAAAGACACCGATTTAAACTACGTATAACTATTTAAAAGTAATTTATGCAGCCCAAATGGGATTTTTAATTCTTTCTCCAACCATTTAATATAATCAGCTCATAGCCAGAACGTAAGCAACTCCCGGATAGACGAAAAGGTACTCACATAGTTGAAAATTTAGAAGCTCGAAACATTGCATTTGTTTAATTAAAATCAGACGACGGAAGAAAAAGTTTGAAGTGTCTTGTTATTACTTTTCTCATTAATTGAGTTTCTCTTGCATAGAGAGGTAATTATTAGTCAGAAATCTGCATTGCTGTATTGTATCGAAAAAGAAATCATTACATTAGGATAAATTCGGACTACAATGAAAATTTCACTAAGCGTTTCTAGAAATCTTTTGATTAATTCTAATCCCCTCCACGTATAAACAAACTGAATTTTTAATTAATAGCGCATCACGTAGGCAGAAAATTAATATAGAGTTATTAATGAATGTAAAGACGCAAATCGCTTAGTATGAAAGAAAACTGCAAAACATTTTCATTCTCACCCTCCTTCGCAAAATCATCGTTGTAAATATAAGCTCCACCAATGACTTTGCAAGGGACGAAGACTGTAATGAGGACTGTAATAAACAAATCGCTTAGTATGAAAGACAACTTGCAAAAACATTTTCATTCTCGCCCTCCTTCGCAAAAATCATCGTTGTAAATAATAAGCAACTCCGAAGACAATGAATTAATTGCAAGGGACGAAGACATAATGAGGACTGTAATAAACAAATCGATTAGTATGAAAGAAAACTGCAAGACATTTTCATTCTCGCCCTCCTTCGCAAAATCATCGTTGTAAATATAAGCTCCAACAATGATTTTGCAAGGGACGAAGACTGTAATGAGGACTGTAATAAACAAATCGCTTAGTATGAAAGAAAACTGCAAAACATTTTCATTCTCGCCCTCCTTCGCAAAATCATCGTTGTAAATATAAGCTCCAACAATAATTTTGCAAGGGACGAAGACTGTAATGAGGACTGTAATAAACAAATCGATTAGTATGAAAGAAAACTGCAAGACATTTTCATTCTCGCCCTCCTTCGCAAAATCATCGTTGTAAATATAAGCTCCAACAATGATTTTGCAAGGGACGAAGACTGTAATGAGGACTGTAATAAACAAATCGCTTAGTATGAAAGAAAACTGCAAAACATTTTCATTCTCGCCCTCCTTCGCAAAATCATCGTTGTAAATATAAGCTCCAACAATAATTTTGCAAGGGACGAAGACTATAATGAGGACTGTAATAAACAAATCGCTTAGTATGAAAGACAACTGCAAGACATTTTCATTCTCGCCCTCCTTCGCAAAATCATCGTTGTAAATATAAGCTCCAACAATGATTTTGCAAGGGACGAAGACTGTAATGAGGACTGTAATAAACAAATCGCTTAGTATGAAAGAAAACTGCAAGACATTTTCATTCTCGCCCTCCTTCGCAAAATCATCGTTGTAAATATAAGCTCCAACAATGATTTTGCAAGGGACGAAGACTGTAATGAGGACTGTAATAAACAAATCGCTTAGTATGAAAGAAAACTGCAAAACATTTTCATTCTCGCCCTCCTTCGCAAAATCATCGTTGTAAATATAAGCTCCAACAATAATTTTGCAAGGGACGAAGACTGTAATAAACAAATCGCTTAGTATGAAAGAAAACTGCAAAACATTTTCATTCTCGCCCTCCTTCGCAAAATCATCGTTGTAAATATAAGCTCCAACAATAATTTTGCAAGGGACGAAGACTGTAATGAGGACTGTAATAAACAAATCGATTAGTATGAAAGAAAACTGCAAAACATTTTCATTCTCGCCCTCCTTCGCAAAATCATCGTTGTAAATATAAGCTCCAACAATAATTTTGCAAGGGACGAAGACTATAATGAGGACTGTAATAAACAAATCGCTTAGTATGAAAGACAACTGCAAGACATTTTCATTCTCGCCCTCCTTCGCAAAATCATCGTTGTAAATATAAGCTCCAACAATGATTTTGCAAGGGACGAAGACTGTAATGAGGACTGTAATAAACAAATCGATTAGTATGAAAGAAAACTGCAAGACATTTTCATTCTCGCCCTCCTTCGCAAAATCATCGTTGTAAATATAAGCTCCAACAATGATTTTGCAAGGGACGAAGACTGTAATGAGGACTGTAATAAACAAATCGATTAGTATGAAAGAAAACTGCAAGACATTTTCATTCTCGCCCTCCTTCGCAAAATCATCGTTGTAAATATAAGCTCCAACAATGATTTTGCAAGGGACGAAGACTGTAATGAGGACTGTAATAAACAAATCGCTTAGTATGAAAGAAAACTGCAAAACATTTTCATTCTCGCCCTCCTTCGCAAAATCATCGTTGTAAATATAAGCTCCAACAATAATTTTGCAAGGGACGAAGACTGTAATAAACAAATCGCTTAGTATGAAAGAAAACTGCAAAACATTTTCATTCTCGCCCTCCTTCGCAAAATCATCGTTGTAAATATAAGCTCCAACAATAATTTTGCAAGGGACGAAGACTGTAATGAGGACTGTAATAAACAAATCGATTAGTATGAAAGAAAACTGCAAAACATTTTCATTCTCGCCCTCCTTCGCAAAATCATCGTTGTAAATATAAGCTCCAACAATAATTTTGCAAGGGACGAAGACTATAATGAGGACTGTAATAAACAAATCGCTTAGTATGAAAGACAACTGCAAGACATTTTCATTCTCGCCCTCCTTCGCAAAATCATCGTTGTAAATATAAGCTCCAACAATGATTTTGCAAGGGACGAAGACTGTAATGAGGACTGTAATAAACAAATCGATTAGTATGAAAGAAAACTGCAAGACATTTTCATTCTCGCCCTCCTTCGCAAAATCATCGTTGTAAATATAAGCTCCAACAATGATTTTGCAAGGGACGAAGACTGTAATGAGGACTGTAATAAACAAATCGCTTAGTATGAAAGAAAACTGCAAAACATTTTCATTCTCGCCCTCCTTCGCAAAATCATCGTTGTAAATATAAGCTCCAACAATGATTTTGCAACGGACGAAGACTGTAATGAGGACTGTAATAAACAAATCGCTTAGTATGAAAGAAAACTGCAAAACATTTTCATTCTCGCCCTCCTTCGCAAAATCATCGTTGTAAATATAAGCTCCAACAATAATTTTGCAAGGGACGAAGACTGTAATGAGGACTGTAATAAACAAATCGATTAGTATGAAAGAGAACTGCAAGACATTTTCATTCTCGCCCTCCTTCGCAAAATCATCGTTGTAAATATAAGCTCCAACAATGATTTTGCAAGGGACGAAGACTACAATGAAGGCTGTAATAAACACATATTTTGGTTTCTTATTATTTAGATAGAAATTTAATCAATGGCTGAAAGTTCCCTTTTCAAGCTCGTCCTTCCTGAAAATTACTAAGCACAAGCTAAAAGGAAACTTAATTAGCTCGCACTATAAGGTACTTAAACTGACAGAAATTAAATTTTAAAATTTTGTACTTAATATTATATTTTATCACAAAAATAACACTCTAAAGAGCAACATCTTCGATGAATAAATATAAAATTGTTTAAAATTAGTACTTACCAAGTGGCGGCATGAGCGGACATGAGCGTCTTCTTTTCCATAGTTTGTTATCTGGACAACAGTTCTCATTCGTTTTATTCCTTGTTATAACAGCTGACACCGAAATGGCGTCTTTTGTCCACTTTGGGATGACATGCACCCTAGTCCTCGTAGTCAGTCCGCCACCAAGGGACTGCAGGACTTTCCTTACTCTTGCACAATTGACCATGTTCTTCACAATGGCCACGTTGGCCTCTAGGGTAGGAGCTGCTTTATCTAGGAATGCCTCCACCCTCAATGTGTCTGGCCTCTTGTGGGGCACGGATTTAGTAGCACTGCTTGGTAAGTGGAGGTTCGGAACACCCAAAACTGTGTGCCCCGTAGGAGGAAAGATCGTCACATTGAGTGCATCGTGGCGAATAGGCACATAATGGGTTCTCCTGTGCGAATGAATGACTGCGATCTGCATTAAGGTGACAAAAATAAGCGAGAAGACAAAAAGAAGCAGAAGCACAGATGGCAATACTCTCAGAATTCTCTTGAACGTGCACCGCACCAGCGGCCTCACCAAGGGAACACGAATTCGAATCATGTCCTCAGACAGCAACGCTTCTTTGGATTAACAAGGATTTATTTTCAACAAGCCATAAATTAGACTAGTTTACTCTTAAATTATACAGTTGTTCACTACCAAAGCATGTATTTATATTTAAATAGACTAAAGATATTATATCTGAGACTAGAAAATTCTTGCTAAATTCGTTTCTTTCTAGATTTCAAACAATCATTGCTTTCCTGATTTCTTAAAGTTCCTGACACCATGCCAATATTGTTTTTTTTTTCAGTCTATATTGAAAATCTTTCATTCTACGTAAGCAAATTAGTAAAGTCATTGATACCATATATTTAATTTGTCAGTACATATTTTTTTAGAATAGAAAGAAAAAAAACATATTTCAGCTGACATATTTCAACGTTCCAATAAGGCTGATATATTTATTCTTACTCAAATTAGAGCTGCAGTAATATTTTAAGAGTCTACAAGTATAGAAGTATAAGAGAAGAATTCTGAAAATGTTGTAATAAAAAAGCTTAGTGTACATGTTTTTTACTTTATGTACATAAGTGCTTTATGAATGAGATCAAAAATCCCTTGAGCAGAAATGGAAGCTTGTTATAACATGATGAATTTCTAGGTTTCATATATGCATGTAAGTGATTAGTTTATAAGACCATTCAGGCTGATTTGATACTAAATTTTACTGCCGTCACATTCATCCAAATCTGCAAAATACAAATTCATTTACGTAAGTATAGAATTCTGACGTTAAATAATGCAGAAGTATATTAAAAAGTGAAAGATGTTCAAGTAGAGGAAATCTTTAAGCCCGTTGTTTCAACCACACGGTTAAAAACAACTTACACAAACAAATACTACACTGTTCAAGTCAAAAATGCAAATCAGTGAGTCAAAAAATAATAGTTTCTTTCAATCTACGTTTACATTCCACGTAATCAAGATGAGCTTTATTTGTTGTTGGAACGAAATAATCAATATATTCATATTAGAGATATATCATGGTTAATAAACTCTGGTTGAAAATAAATACTCAGAAAGATAAACACTGGTTGAAGAAAGAAACATCTGCCTTATTTTTTACAAACTCTTTAACAGCTCAAAGGAATAAATTTCTTCAACTGTGCTGTAAAAGGCCGGTAACAAAATGCACTCCAGTAATGAAATTCTGCCATAAAAGAAACTGAATGGTACTTAATTGGCAAATCGTATCATTTTTATTAGAAGGGTGGCAACAGTCCATAACGAAGCTTGAATTTAGTCCTTTTCTATTTTTTGCAAAGTATAATATTAAATTATAAGATTTTCCTTTACAATAATCCTAATTTCATAGATGGCAGTTAAAGAATATCAATAACGTGTTTCCTGTCGAAAGTTGTCAATAAAATAATATTATCATTAATAAAATTTTTAGCGAAATTTAGACTTGATCATGAATACATTTGAAGTGAATTTACATTAACATGTTTTTAAATATGGTACTCATTTTCTGATTAAAAAAAGCTTTCAATTATTCGATTTAACTTCATAAAAGAAAACGAATATTCTGGATAAAACAATTTCTTTTTTCAACTATTTCAAAATTTTTGCGATAATTTTTTGAACTTTTTATAGTTAAACCTCTGCAATGTTTATATTTAAAGCGTTTCTGTTGCAAAGGAACTTTTATTTAAATATTAGTGATTAAAAATTTCAGACCTTTTGAGGAAATTTAATTATTAAACCTATTTTGGAATTTAATAAACATAGCACATTACCACCTTTTCAACTTTTAAATTGCAAATTTAAAAAATTTATTTCATAAATTAAGCTGTCGTTCTTAACACGCTAAAGTAAAATAATTGGTCTTACTTCAACATTTGATATATGATTAATAATTTTTATAGCGATTTATAAATATGTTAATAATATTGAACAGAAAAAAATAAATACCACTTTTATTATTGAAACAACAAATGATATGTTTATTATATATATCTTTCGTGCTTACTAACTGAGAAAATTTCGAATACGATTGCTACAGCCTAGTTGTTTGAGGCTTATGGTTAAATGATGTGGACTTGTTATGAATAAGCAGTAAATAGGATTTACCTTGAATTAATGCACAATGAATATAACTTGCATTTACTTCTTTTGTTTTCTGATCTATGTCAAAAACTAAGCTGATATACACACGTGTATCAATTATTTGAGCTATGTTATAAGCTATTAGTTTGAAAAAAAAAATTATAAATTTAGAATTGTTTCCCTAAACAATTTTTAAATATCAACGTATTAATAAGACGAAAATTTACAAAAAATTGTTAATACTATTATTTCATTATTTGTAAATTTTAGGAAAATTTCAGGTTTTTGTAACATGTGACAATGTTTTGTACATAAAAAATATTTTCATTACTGCTGTTTATTAGTTGCGAAAAACATTTACTCTTATACGTAAAATTTATATTTTTGTGTAATACATTATGACTTTTAAGATACGCTTTTCTAAATAATTTTCAAAATGCTTAGTTCAGTAATGTTCCTGATATTAGTCCGATCAATAATAAAATGGAAAAATTATCATTAATTACACGTTGGAATTTCTATAATATTTTGCATTAAAATATAATGAAAGATTTCAGTAAAGTCGCTGCGAATTTTAGTACTTCAAGAATACATTATCTAATAAAATTTGATGAAAATTTGTAAATCTGTGCTTAATGGGTTTTCAACTATAAGATACAGTTTTTCTGGTGTTGAATTTGCTTCAGATTTGTACTTAGATTACTGTGAAATTTCTTCATATAGTTTTTCATGTCGAAAAATCTTTCCTTTGTGTAAATTTCTTCATAGTAATATACTGGTAATTAATACATATCTTCATAACAGCAGGCTCAAATGTTACGAGATGGGCTTTAGTGTATATTATTGAATTATTCAATATTTACTCAGAAAAACTTCTGTTTTATAAAGAGCAATGTAATAAAATTATTTCTGACGCAAACATCACTTTAAAAAAATTAGAATAGTGAATATTCAGAATTGTATACTGAAAAACTCCCTTGAAAGAAAGTGCAATAAAATTTAAACTCACCAGAGAATTAATCAAATCTTATTTTGGCATCCATGAATATTATACTAGTATCCATTCAGCATTTCACATGAGTATGATATTCATAAATTAAGACGATTATAAAATGCTGTCATGTGAGTTTTCAGCGATTTCATTTCAGCAGTCACGTGGGATTCAATACCAGTTCTTGCTGATAAATACTCACTGGAATTCCTCAAATGAGCATAAACGAGAAATTAGCCCATGTACGGAAGTTGTTAAGTGTATGACATTATAAACTTCCGCTTATTTCAGCTTTTGTAGCGACGCGAAAATAGCCACAGCAGTCACCTCGTTGCATTAAACGTATATACAATACAGCGAGCATATCCAAAATAATCTCGAGTCGCGACTGCCTCCCATGCTTGGCTAGCACAGAATGGCACACAATGCTCAAGAACATGGTGCAGCTCCCTTCTGCGTATCGACCGCATGCAGCGTTGCCATGGTTACCAGATCTGGCGGGAGTCTCTAGCTGAATGTGGGGGTGGGTTTCGGATGGTGCTGGAGGATCGTGCCATCGCTCCAATACACCCTCCAGACGACAGTAGAGAGGAGAAAAAGCGAAAGGGATATATATATGTGTATAAATAGTTAGAAGAGCAAAAATGGATGAAGTAAAAAAAATAGGGGAGTTCGAAAAAGATCCCAAGCAAATGCAGCGAAGTGGAGTTTGTGTGGTGGAAGTTTCTGTTTCGCGTAATTTATACACTGCTTGTTATGTTTCTTGTTTGCTTTTTCCGGTTTTAGACAAAAAAGATCATCGTGAAAGTGCTTAATTTCCAGGAGTTTCTTACGTAATACAGAGTTTTCTGGAAAAGATCCAGAAAACTAACTTAATGCAATTGCCGTTTTCCATTGCGCTGAAGATCTGTATAGCCAAAACGATCTGACGTCTGAGTTTATCCGGAGTTTTCCTGCTTTTAGGTAATGTGTGTGTGTGTGTATTTAATTATGGCAAAGCACACTAGGGCTATCTGCCTAAGAGGAGGGATGCCTTTCGTGGAGGACTTTCTAAGGGAAACTGGCTCGTATACACGTTACACATGGGGAAAACCACGAAAACACCCATGCAGCCAGCCCGTTCGCGGGATTCGAACCTCGGACCGAACTACCAGTGTTCAGCGACTTTACCGCTCGGCCGCTGGTGGGCCGCTTTTAGGTAATGAAAGATATTCTTATTTGGTGGGAAAATGTTTCAAAAGCAGGATTATTTTGGGAATAAAACGCGTATCTAAAAATATACATGTTTACTATGTTTAAGTGCTTGGAATCCCTAGCTTATTCTGGACCTTGTTTCAGGATCTGTTTATGTTAAGATAAGTTTATGAATACAGAAACTACCATAATATTTTGCACAATTTAAATAATTAAAATACCAATAATGAAAAAGTTGAGACTAATTTTTTGAAATATTTCTATGATTAAGTAAGATAAAAAGAAAAGAGGGACATCAACCTGGAAGCTGACAAGACAATAAATAAACTGTGAAGAAATTAGCATTTTTTGGAAGCTGGACAGATGAAAAATTGAGCAAATGCCTTCGCCGGGAATCGAACCGTGGACCTCTGGATTACCGGCCCAGTGTGCAAACCACTACATCACAAAGCCTCGTTAAGAAGACTGGAGAAATACCTTATATACTCCCCCTTTTAAAAGGCGACTGGAGTTTTCAGGGGACCCAATCGCCAAATCCTGGGTGAGGAGAATCATCATCCAACACCCTTTTACGCCACTGTAGAGACAAATACGGAGACACTGTAGAGACACTCTATTTACAAAATATGATATTTTGAAAGCTGGAGAGATAAAAAATAAGCATACGCCTTCGCCGAGAATCGAACCACGGACCTCTGGAATACCTCCTCAGGGTACTGACCACTACACTACAAAGGCATGCTAGAAAGGCGGGAGAAATACCTTATAAAATAAATAAATAAACGATAGACAATTTTTTTTTAAATCTGAAGCTTGCAGATTTTATATTACACCCAAAGGGGCGTTTTGTATGTTACCTTTATTTATTAAATATCATGTTCTTCACACTTAATTCAATTCAACAGCAATATCACAAAATATTTAAAAGAGCATATCTTTAGAATTTCCGATACACAGTCTCGAGCCTTAAAGCCTTAAAGCTAAACATTTCCCCCCCCCTTTTTTTTTCCCCTGTACATTGTTGAAATTGCTCGCTTTGAAATCGTTGAGTTTCTTAATCTAAAACTCATAAATGCTTCACAAAATATAAAATAGATAATAAAACAAGTTACAAATTACAAATTTGGGCTCCCAGATGCCGATATTCGGGTGGAGACGTACGTTATTCAAAATTCGTTCGCGCCAGGTAGCATTGTTTTACCACAGTGCTAGAAATATACATACATTTATGCAAATTCTTCATTATTTAATTTCTTTAAATTAAATAATTATACAGGGGGATAATATTTGGTGGCAACAATTTGAAATTACAGTTTTCCAGAGTTTTCTGGAAAAGATAGTTGTTTAAAAACTATAAAGGACGAAATTACTATAAAATCCTATGATGGACGAAATTACAATTGAAATTTTTACTATACAGAGCGATGATATTTGGTGGCAAAAATTTAAAAAGTGAAACGGCGTTTATGATGAAACGCCACAAAACATTAAAACGAAATTAATAGCCTTTCTGTGCTAACGCCTTTTGGGCTAATAAAAAAAACAGGAAAAAATGCTCAGATTTTATTTCGGAACTTAAGTTAAGAATGGTTCAGGTTTGGTTTGAGTTGGCTGATTAAGGATTTTGGTTGGCAAATTTTTAGTAGCATTATCAGGACTTTTCTTTATATATATATATATATGTGTGTGTGTGTGTTTAGGAAGGAGACGTGAAAAATGTGCAGTGACCTCGTCGGGACTTGAAACTTGGACCTTTCGGGAACGCGTCAAGTGTGCTTCCAATTGCGCTACGAAGCATGCGGAAGAAAATACCTTACAGTATATACAGATTTAAATTCTTAACAAATACGTATAAAAGTAAAAAAGCAAATTTAAATTATAAAAAAAGGAAAAAAGCTAAAATAATTTTAAATAATTTTAAAAAAATGTGCAAATATGTAAAAGATTTAATTCTCGAATTAATCTACAATATCATTTAAATTCAGAAGCATAAGCAAATGAAGTGCAAAATCTATCCATGAAAATAAATACAGTAAGACCCCGCTTAAGGCTGTTTCGTTTAGCGCTGTTTCGGTTTAGCGCTCTTTTATTTCAACCGGGGAATTCCACGAAATCGCTCGCAGCATACGGGGATTCCCCGAAATATTATGCAGCGATAGATTTCAAATACATATCCGAAAGAGTGTACTTGTATTTCTTGTTTGGTGCGGTATTGTACAGACATATTTTGAAGGGGTAAATGTGGAAGATGTCGAAGAAATAATTCAAGAAGCAACGGCTAGTCTTTCTAATGATGAGCTCAAGGAATTAACTGAACAAGAAGAAAACAAAAATGTTGACAGCAGTGATTCAGAAGAAGAGCAGAAAGAACTTTCGATGGCGTTTGTAAAAAGGAGTTTGTCTACCATAACTGAAATAATGGATCAATTTATTGGAAATGATCCGAATTTTGACAGGAGCTCAAAAGTAAGGCGTGGTGTTAGAGATGCTCTATCCGTTTATGAAGAACTTTTAAGAGAACAACCCAAAAGAAAAAGGCAAACAACATTAGATGCTTTTGTCACAAAAAGGCAGAACACTGAAAACGCGGAAGGCTAACTAAATATGACTGACTTAGAATTTTATTTGTTTTTTTTTTAAGAATATTCGTTTTGTTATTTATATTTTGTTTTTATTTTTGCAAGAAATAATAATGTGGTATTAATTTGGGCTTTAAGAAATAAATGTTTGGTTTTATTTTTATTAAAAAACATACTTTTTAAATTTAATACCTAACCAATTTCCTAGCCATCTTCCCCTAACCCCAGTATTTACATATAAAGATAGGCCTCGTTTAGCGCTGTTTCGCATTACGCTCTACTTTGATGGAACGTATCCCCCGCGTCTTACTGTATACTAATTTAATAAATTAAAATTAAATTAAACAATTTTTTTTAAAAAATGCATATGTGAATGACCGTAGAGTAGGCAGGAGACAGACTTATCAAGGGGAAGTTGCCTCCAAACCTAACTCTCCAATTATTCAATTCGTGTTTCGTCATTCATGCAGGCAAGGGTAAAAGTCAAAACCAAAAGTAATTCCAATAAAGTGGTACCCTGAGAAATTAACATTTAAGTATCAACATTTAAGAATTAAAGTTCAAAAAGGAAAATACTAATGAAGTCTTTTGAGTAACAAGCAAGTAAAGTCAAAAATTAAACTTTTTCTTAAAAAATTTAATTTTTTAAAAATTAATTTTTTATAAAATTAAAAAAAATCTAGAAACCAATGTATTTTAGAAATCCTTGTCTACAGAAACTTCCCCTACACGAATATGCATATCAATAAAAAAAAACTATAAAAGAACTATACATAATCCATATAAACCAATAAGAAACAAAAAGAACTAATTCACAATTTTTAAAAAACAAATATATATTTAAAAATATAATTTCATATTTAGAAAATGCTTAGATACTACATAAAAAATTTTTAAAAAAAAATACTTAAAGCAAGTAAATAGTAAGTTTTAATTCTAACTTACCTACTATATGAGTGTTGGGGTCTGCAAAAGTGTTGTGAAAGAGAAGTGTGTTCTTCAAACAGTATATACATGGTTTGTTAGAGAATTATAATAGAATGTGCTATGATTCTGTATAAATACATTTTATTACAGAACTATATTATATTCTGTATTAATATTATATATTATATTTACTACATTTTATGATAGAATTGTTATAGAAGTATACCGCACGGTGGCGAAATGGCTAGCCCGTAGCGCAGCTGCATTCCAGGTCCGGGGTTCGATCCCCGAGCTGGGCAAAGTTGACTGAGCCTTTCATCCCTTAAGTGGGCCGATAAAATGACTTCCAGGTTCTCTTAGGGACTAAACACCGGGGGTACTGCCACGAGGTGACCACTTGTCCAGGGCATATGCTGATGCACTCCGGGGCAAAAGGTGTCAAGAAAGCAGAAAAAAGGCCCACTAGAGCCCACTAGAGCTGTTGCGCCACTGAGTTTAGTTTCAGTTTGTTATAAAACTACATTTTACCCTGTATTAATGAATATTATATGATATATTTTATTATTATAGAAATATTTTATTATAGAATTACAATAGTATATACTATAATTCTGTATATATATTTTTATTATGGGACTAATATAGAACTATTATATATTATATATTATATTTTATTATAGAACTATATTATATTCTATGTTAATTTTATATATTATATTTTATCATAGAACCATATTATAGTCTATACTAATCCTATATACTAGATATTTTATAGAACTATATCACATTCTATATTAATATTATATTTATTACAGAATTATTTTTCATAAAAAAACTTAATTTATTGT